TTATCCTCTTCTCGTTAGACTTCTGCCATTAATTCTTGTTGGTCATTTGACATTTCTACATCTTTTTGCATTGCCTATCATCACTGGTGCAGTTAAGGTCACTTCTTTGTCATTGTGTCATTATTAGCTGTTACCTCCCATTGTGTAATTATTAGCTGTTACCTCCCATTGTGTCATTATTGTTACCTTCCATTGTGTCATTATTGTTACCTTCCATTGTGTCATTATTGTTACCTTCCATTGTGTCATTATTAGCTGTTACCTTCCATTGTGTCATTATTAGCTGTTACCTCCCATTGTGTCATTATTAGCTGTTACCTCCCATTGTGTCATTATTAGCTGTTACCTCCCATTGTGTCATTATTAGCAGTTACCTTCCATTGTGTCATTATTAGCTGTTACCTTCCATTGTGTCATTATTAGCAGTTACCTCCCATTGTGTCATTATTAGCAGTTACCTTCCATTGTGTCATTATTAGCTGTTACCTCCCATTGTGTCATTATTGTTACCTCCCTTTGTGTCATTATTAGCTGTTACCTTCCATTGTGTCATTATTAGCTGTTACCTTCCATTGTGTCATTATTGTTACCTTCCATTGTGTCATTATTAGCTGTTACCTTCCATTGTGTCATTATTGTTACCTCCCATTGTGTCATTATTGTTACCTTCCATTGTGTCATTATTGTTACCTTACATTGTGTCATTATTAGCTGTTACCTTCCATTGTGTCATTATTAGCTGTTACCTCCCATTGTGTCATTATTAGCTGTTACCTTCCATTGTGTCATTATTAGCTGTTACCTTCCATTGTGTCATTATTGTTACCTTCCATTGTGTCATTATTAGCTGTTACCTCCCATTGTGTCATTATTAGCTGTTACCTCCCATTGTGTCATTATTAGCTGTTACCTCCCATTGTGTCATTATTAGCTGTTACCTCCTATTGTGTCATTATTGTTACCTCCCTTTGTGTCATTATTAGCTGTTACCTTCCATTGTGTCATTATTAGCTGTTACCTCCCATTGTGTCATTATTAGCTGTTACCTCCCATTGTGTCATTATTAGCTGTTACCTCCCATTGTGTCATTATTAGCTGTTACCTCCCATTGTGTCATTATTAGCTGTTACCTCCCATTGTGTCATTATTAGCTGTTACCTCCCATTGTGTCATTATTAGCTGTTACCTCCTATTGTGTCATTATTAGCTGTTACCTCCCATTGTGTCATTATTAGCTGTTACCTCCCATTGTGTCATTATTAGCTGTTACCTCCCATTGTGTCATTATTAGCTGTTACCTCCCATTGTGTTATTATTGTTACCTCCCATTGTGTCATTATTAGCTGTTACCTCCCATTGTGTCATTATTAGCTGTTACCTCCCATTGTGTCATTATTGTTACCTCCCTTTGTGTCATTATTAGCTGTTACCTTCCATTGTGTCATTATTAGCTGTTACCTCCCATTGTGTCATTATTAGCTGTTACCTCCCATTGTGTCATTATTAGCTGTTACCTCCCATTGTGTCATTATTAGCTGTTACCTCCCATTGTGTCATTATTAGCTGTTACCTCCCATTGTGTCATTATTAGCTGTTACCTCCCATTGTGTCATTATTAGCTGTTACCTCCCCATTGTGTCATTATTAGCTGTTACCTCCCATTGTGTCATTATTAGCTGTTACCTCCCATTGTGTCATTATTAGCTGTTACCTCCCATTGTGTCATTATTAGCTGTTACCTCCCATTGTGTCATTATTAGCTGTTACCTCCCATTGTGTCATTATTGTTACCTTCCATTGTGTCATTATTAGCTGTTACCTTCCATTGTGTCATTATTAGCTGTTACCTCCCATTGTGTCATTGTTATTGTGTCATTATTGTTACCTTCCATTGTGTCATTATTAGCTGTTACCTTCCATTGTGTCATTATTAGCTGTTACCTCCCATTGTGTCATTATTAGCTGTTACCTCCCATTGTGTCATTATTGTTACCTTCCATTGTGTCATTATTAGCTGTTACCTCCCATTGTGTCATTATTAGCTGTTACCTCCCATTGTGTCATTATTAGCTGTTACCTTAGCTGTTACCCATTGTGTCATTATTAGCTGTTACCTCCCATTGTGTCATTATTAGCTGTTACCTCCCCGCTTGTGTCATTATTAGCTGTTACCTCCCATTGTGTCATTATTAGTTACCTCCCATTGTGTCATTATTAGCTGTTACCTCCCATTGTGTCATTATTAGCTGTTACCTCCCATTGTGTCATTATTAGCCCATGTCATTATTAGCTGTTACCTCCCATTGTGTCATTATTAGCTGTTACCTCCCATTGTGTCATTATTAGCTGTTACCTCCCATTGTGTCATTATTAGCTGTTACCTTCCCATTGTGTCATTATTAGCTGTACCTCTCCCATTGTGTCATTATTAGCTGTTACCTCCCATTGTGTCTTATTAGCTGTTACCTCCCATTGTGTCATTATTGTTACCTTCCATTGTGTCATTATTGTTACCTTCCATTGTGTCATTATTAGCTGTTACCTTCCATTGTGTCATTATTAGCTGTTACCTCCCATTGTGTCATTATTAGCTGTTACCTCCCATTGTGTCATTATTGTTACCTTCCATTGTGTCATTATTAGCTGTTACCTCCCATTGTGTCATTATTGTTACCTTCCATTGTGTCATTATTGTTACCTTCCATTGTGTCATTATTAGCTGTTACCTTTCATTGTGTCATTATTAGCTGTTACCTCCCATTGTGTCATTATTAGCTGTTACCTCCCATTGTGTCATTATTAGCTGTTACCTCCCATTGTGTCATTATTAGCTGTTACCTCCCATTGTGTCATTATTAGCTGTTACCTCCTATTGTGTCATTATTGTTACCTCCCATTGTGTCATTATTAGCTGTTACCTCCCATTGTGTCATTATTAGCTGTTACCTCCCATTGTGTCATTATTGTTACCTCCCTTTGTGTCATTACCTCCCATTGTGTCATTATTAGCTGTTACCTCCCATTGTGTCATTATTAGCTGTTACCTCCCATTGTGTCATTATTAGCTGTTACCTCCCATTGTGTCATTATTAGCTGTTACCTTCCATTGTGTCATTATTATTACCTCCCATTGTGTCATTATTAGCTGTTACCTCCCATTGTGTCATTATTATTACCTCCCATTGTGTCATTATTAGCTGTTACCTCCCATTGTGTCATTATTAGCTGTTACCTTCCATTGTGTCATTATTGTTACCTCCCATTGTGTCATTATTATTACCTCCCATTGTGTCATTATTAGCTGTTACCTCCCATTGTGTCATTATTATTACCTCCCATTGTGTCATTATTAGCTGTTACCTCCCATTGTGTCATTATTAGCTGTTACCTTCCATTGTGTCATTATTATTACCTCCCATTGTGTCATTATTAGCTGTTACCTCCCATTGTGTCATTATTAGCTGTTAGCTCCTATTGTGTCATTATTAGCTGTTACCTCCCATTGTGTCATTATTAGCTGTTACCTCCCATTGTGTCATTATTAGCTGTTACCTCCCATTGTGTCATTATTAGCTGTTACCTCCCATTGTGTCATTATTGTTACCTCCCATTGTGTCATTACTAGCTGTTACCTCCCATTGTGTCATTATTAGCTGTTACCTCCCATTGTGTCATTATTAGCTGTTACCTCCCATTGTGTCATTATTAGCTGTTACCTCCCATTGTGTCATTATTAGCTGTTACCTCCCATTGTGTCATTATTAGCTGTTACCTCCCATTGTGTCATTATTAGCTGTTACCTCCCATTGTGTCATTATTAGCTGTTACCTCCTATTGTGTCATTATTAGCTGTTACCTCCCATTGTGTCATTATTAGCTGTTAGCTCCTATTGTGTCATTATTAGCTGTTACCTCCCATTGTGTCATTATTAGCTGTTAGCTCCTATTGTGTCATTATTAGCTGTTACCTCCCATTGTGTCATTATTAGCTGTTACCTCCCATTGTGTCATTATTAGCTGTTACCTCCCATTGTGTCATTATTAGCTGTTACCTCCCATTGTGTCATTATTAGCTGTTACCTCCTATTGTGTCATTATAAGCTGTTACCTCCCATTGTGTCATTATTAGCTGTTAGCTCCTATTGTGTCATTATTAGCTGTTACCTCCCATTGTGTCATTATTAGCTGTTACCTCCCATTGTGACATTATTAGCTGTTAGCTCCTATTGTGTCATTATTAGCTGTTACCTCCCATTGTGTCATTATTAGCTGTTAGCTCCTATTGTGTCATTATTAGCTGTTACCTCCCATTGTGTCATTATTAGCTGTTACCTCCTATTGTGTCATTATTAGCTGTTACCTCCCATTGTGTCATTATTAGCTGTTAGCTCCTATTGTGTCATTATTAGCTGTTACCTCCCATTGTGTCATTATTAGCTGTTACCTCCCATTGTGTCATTATTAGCTGTTACCTCCCATTGTGTCATTATTAGCTGTTACCTCCCATTGTGTCATTATTGTTACCTCCCATTGTGTCATTATTAGCTGTTACCTCCCATTGTGTCATTATTAGCTGTTACCTCCCATTGTGTCATTATTAGCTGTTACCTCCCATTGTGTCATTATTAGCTGTTACCTCCCATTGTGTCATTATTAGCTGTTACCTCCCATTGTGTCATTATTAGCTGTTACCTCCCATTGTGTCATTATTAGCTGTTACCTCCCATTGTGTCATTATTAGCTGTTACCTCCCATTGTGTCATTATTAGCTGTTACCTCCCATTGTGTCATTATTAGCTGTTACCTCCCATTGTGTCATTATTAGCAGTTACCTCCCATTGTGTCATTATTGTTACCTCCCATTGTGTCATTATTAGCTGTTACCTCCCATTGTGTCATTATTAGCTGTTACCTCCCATTGTGTCATTATTAGCTGTTACCTCCCATTGTGTCATTATTAGCTGTTACCTCCCATTGTGTCATTATTGTTACCTCCCATTGTGTCATTATTAGCTGTTACCTCCCATTGTGTCATTATTAGCTGTTAGCTCCTATTGTGTCATTATTAGCTGTTACCTCCCATTGTGTCATTATTAGCTGTTACCTCCCATTGTGTCATTATTAGCTGTTACCTCCCATTGTGTCATTATTAGCTGTTACCTCCCATTGTGTCATTATTAGGTGTTACCTCCCATTGTGTCATTATTAGCTGTTACCTCCCATTGTGTCATTATTGTTACCTCCCATTGTGTCATTATTGTTACCTCCCATTGTGTCATTATTGTTACCTCCCATTGTGTCATTATTGTTACCTCCCATTGTGTCATTATTGTTACCTCCCTTTGTGTCATTATTGTTACCTCCCATTGTGTCATTATTGTTACCTCCCATTGTGTCATTATTAGCTGTTACCTCCCATTGTGTCATTATTGTTACCTCCCATTGTGTCATTATTAGCTGTTACCTCCTATTGTGTCATTATTAGCTGTTACCTTCCATTGTGTCATTATTGTTACCTTCCATTGTGTCATTATTAGCTGTTACCTCCTATTGTGTCATTATTAGCTGTTACCTTCCATTGTGTCATTATTGTTACCTCCCATTGTGTCATTATTAGCTGTTACCTCCTATTGTGTCATTATTAGCTGTTACCTTCCATTGTGTCATTATTGTTACCTTCCATTGTGTCATTATTAGCTGTTACCTCCTATTGTGTCATTATTAGCTGTTACCTTCCATTGTGTCATTATTAGCTGTTACCTCCCATTGTGTCATTATTAGCTGTTACCTCCTATTGTGTCATTATTAGCTGTTACCTCCCATTGTGTCATTATTGTTACCTCCCATTGTGTCATTATTAGCTGTTACCTCCCATTGTGTCATTATTAGCTGTTACCTCCTATTGTGTCATTATTAGCTGTTACCTTCCATTGTGTCATTATTGTTACCTCCCATTGTGTCATTATTAGCTGTTACCTCCTATTGTGTCATTATTAGCTGTTACCTCCCATTGTGTCATTATTAGCTGTTACCTCCCATTGTGTCATTATTAGCTGTTACCTCCCATTGTGTCATTATTAGCTGTTACCTCCCATTGTGTCATTATTGTTACCTCCCATTGTGTCATTATTAGCTGTTACCTCCTATTGTGTCATTATTAGCTGTTACCTCCCATTGTGTCATTATTGTTACCTCCCATTGTGTCATTATTAGCTGTTACCTCCCATTGTGTCATTATTAGCTGTTACCTCCCATTGTGTCATTATTGTTACCTCCCATTGTGTCATTATTAGCTGTTACCTCCCATTGTGTCATTATTAGCTGTTACCTCCCATTGTGTCATTATTAGCTGTTACCTCCTATTGTGTCATTATTAGCTGTTACCTTCCATTGTGTCATTATTGTTACCTCCCATTGTGTCATTATTAGCTGTTACCTCCTATTGTGTCATTATTAGCTGTTACCTCCCATTGTGTCATTATTAGCTGTTACCTCCCATTGTGTCATTATTAGCTGTTACCTTCCATTGTGTCATTATTAGTTGTTACCTCCCATTGTGTCATTATTAGCTGTTACCTCCCATTGTGTCATTATTGTTACCTCCCATTGTGTCATTATTGTTACCTCCCATTGTGTCATTATTGTTACCTCCCATTGTGTCATTATTGTTACCTCCCATTGTGTCATTATTGTTACCTCCCATTGTGTCATTATTAGCTGTTACCTCCCATTGTGTCATTATTAGCTGTTACCTTCCATTGTGTCATTATTAGCTGTTACCTCCCATTGTGTCATTATTAGCTGTTACCTCCCATTGTGTCATTATTAGCAGTTACCTCCCATTGTGTCATTATTAGCTGTTACCTCCCATTGTGTCATTATTAGCTGTTACCTCCCATTGTGTCATTATTAGCTGGTACCTCCCATTGTGTCATTATTAGCTGTTACCTCCCATTGTGTCATTATTAGCTGGTACCTCCCATTGTGTCATTATTAGCTGTTACCTCCCATTGTGTCATTATTAGCTGTTACCTCCTATTGTGTCATTATTAGCTGTTACCTCCCATTGTGTCATTATTAGCTGTTACCTCCTATTGTGTCATTATTAGCTGTTACCTCCCATTGTGTCATTATTAGCTGTTACCTCCCATTGTGTCATTATTAGCTGTTACCTCCCATTGTGTCATTATTAGCTGTTACCTCCCATTGTACCATTATTGTTACCTCCCATTGTGTCATTATTAGCTGTTACCTCCCATTGTGTCATTATTAGCTGTTACCTCCCATTGTACCATTATTCTTTTCTTTCCCATTGTGTCTTTTATATATGTTATTCTCCTTGTTCTGTTTGCTTCAGTCTAGCACAATGGCATTACCATCATCTTGTCCATGTTTCAATCTTTCAAGTAGACGACTGGGAGATCCCATTTGAGAGCATCACCGACTTGCAGTGGTTAGGCAGCGGAGCTCAAGGAGCCGTTTTCTTGGGAAAGTTGTGCAACGAAGAGGTCGCAGTAAAGAAGGTTAGGGATGTCAAGGAGACAGACATTCGCAACCTGAGGAAACTGAACCATCCAAACATCATCTCTTTCAAGTAGGTTAGAGTTGATGTTGACCAGTTCAAGAAGGTTAAACTTAGTGTTGACAAGTTCAAAAAGGTTAACCTGGTATAAACTGTATCTAGAAGTTTAAACTTTTTTTTTTACTTTATCAGATAGTTAACCTGGTATTGGCTGTTTTATGTAGGTTAAACATGTGTTCACCTATCACATAGGCTAAACCTGGTACTGACTGTAACAAGTTGGTTAAACCCAGTATTGACTGTATTGAGTAGGTTAAACCTGTACTGACTGTATTAAGTAGGTTAAACCTGTTATTGACTTATCACATTGGTTATACCTTTTACTAACTGTGTCACATAGGTTAAACCAGGGACTGACGGTATCAAGTAGGTTAAACCTGTTATTGATTTATCACTTTAGTTATACTGTGTCACATAGGTTCAACCAGGGACTGACTGTATCAAGTAGGTTAAACCTGTTATTGACTTATCACATTGGTTATACCTGGTACTGACTGTGTCACATAGGTTAAACCAGGGACTGACTGTATCAAATAGGCTAAACCTGTTATTGACTTATCACATTGGTTATACCTGATACTGACTGTGTCACATAGGTTAAACCAGGGACTGACTGTATCAAGTAGGTTAAACCTGGTATTGACTTATCAAGTAGGTTAAACCCAATATTGACTTATCATGTAGGTTAAACTTGGTATTGATTGTATCAAGTAGGTTAAACCTGGTACTACTGATTGTATCAAGCAGGTTAAACTTAGTACTACTGATTGTATCAAGTAGGTTAAACCTGGTACTACTGATTGTATCAAGTAGGTTAAACCTGATATTGACTGTATCATGTATGTTAAACCTGGAGTTGGTTCAAGCCAATACTTTGAGAAGTCAACTTTGTTGTATTATAGTTCCCAGAACATGTTCATTTGACTTGTTGCAGACACCAAGAGGTTCTTGTTGTCTGTTGTAGAGACCTAGAGGTTCTTGTTGTTTGTTGTAGATACCATGTAGTTCTTGTTATCTGTTGTAGAAACCAAGATGTTCTTGTTGTCTCTTGTAGAGACCAAGAGAAACCAAGAGGTTCTTGTTGTCTGTTGTAGAGACCAAGAGAAACCAAGAGGTTCTTGTTGTCTGTTGTAGAGACCAAGAGAAACCAAGAGGTTCTTGTTGTCTGTTGTAGAGACCTAGAGGTTCTTGTTGTTTGTTGTAGATACCATGTAGTTCTTGTTATCTGTTGTAGAAACCAAGAGGTTCTTGTTGTCTCTTGTAGAGACCAAGAGAAACCAAGAGGTTCTTGTTGTCTCTTGTAGAGACCAAGAGGTTCTTGTTGTCTCTTGTAGAGACCAAGAGGTTCTTGTTGTCTCTTCTAGAGACCAAGAGAAACCAAAAGGTTCTTGTCTCTTGTAGAGACCAAGAGAAACCAAGAGGTTCTTGTTGTCTCTTGTAGAGACCAAGAGAAACCAAGAGGTTCTTGTTGTCTCTTGTAGAGACCAAGAGGTTCTTGTTGTCTGTTGTAGAGACCTAGGGGTTCTTGTTGTCTGTTGTAGAGACCTAGATGTTCTTGTTGTAGAGACCTAGAGGTTCTTGTTGTAGAGACCTAGACGTTCTTGTTGTAGAGACCAAAAGTCTCTTGTCTGTTGTAGAGACCTAGAGGTTCTTGTTGTCTGTTGTAGAGACCAAGAGGTCCTTGTTGTCTGTTGTAGAGACCTAGAGGTTCTTTGTTGTCTGTTGTAGGGACCAAGAGGTCCTTGTTGTCTATTGTAGAGACCAAGAGGTCCTTGTTGTTTGTTGTAGAGACCTAGAGGTTCTTGTTGTTTGTTGTAGAGAAAAAAAGGTTTCTTTTGTCTGTAGTAGAGACCAAGAGGTTCTTGTCTGTTGTAGAGACCAAGAGGTTCTTGCTGTCTGTAGTAGAGACCAAGAGGTTCTTGCTGTCTGTAGTAGAGACCAAGAGGTTCTTGTTGTCTGTAGTAGAGACCAAGAGGTTCTTGTCTGTTGTAGAGACCAAGAGGTTCTTGTTGTCCGTTGTAGATACCAAGAGGTTCTTGTTGTCTGTTGTAGAGACCAAGAGGTTCTTGTTGTCCGTTGTAGAGACCAAGAGGTTCTTGTTGTCCATTGTAGAGACCAAGAGGTTCTTTTTGTCCGTTGTAGAGACCAAGAGGTCCTTGTTGTCCATTGTAGAGACCAAGATGTCCTTGTTGTCTGTTGTAGAGACCAAGAGGTTCTTGTTGTCTGTTGTAGAGACCAAGAGGTTCTTGTTGTCCGTTGTAGAGACCAAGAGGTTTTTGTTGTCCATTGTAGAGACCAAGAGGTTCTTGTTGTCCATTGTAGAGACCAAGAGGTTCTTGTTGTCCGTTGTAGAGACCAAGAAGTTCTTGTTGTCTGTAGTAGAGACCAAGAGGTTCTTGTCTGTTGTAGAGACCAAGAGGTTCTTGTTGTCCGTTGTAGATACCAAGAGGTTCTTGTTGTCTGTTGTAGAGACCAAGAGGTTCTTGTTTTCTGTTGTAGAGACCAAGAGGTTCTTGTTGTCCGTTGTAGAGACCAAGAGGTTCTTGTTGTCCATTGTAGAGACCAAGAGGTTCTTGTTGTCCGTTGTAGAGACCAAGAGGTTTTTGTTGTCCGTTGTAGAGACCAAGAGGTTCTTGTTGTCTGTAGTAGAGACCAAGAGGTTCTTGTCTGTTGTAGAGACCAAGAGGTTCTTGTTGTCCGTTGTAGATACCAAGAGGTTCTTGTTGTCTGTTGTAGAGACCAAGAGGTTCTTGTTGTCCATTGTAGAGACTAAGAGGTTCTTGTTGTCCGTTGTAGAGACCAAGAGGTTCTTGTTGGCCGTTGTAGAGACCAAGTGGTTCTTGTTGTCTGTTGTAGAGACCAAGAGGTTCTTGTTGTTTTGTTAATCTTTGACAAAAAGCACATTTCACATTACTACTGTGATAGATGAGAAACATTACTTCCATAGCTACTCAGCACAGTGTAGCAGCCGGGTTTTTTAAGAGTGTTGTTACCACATGCAACAAGAATTATGTATATTTAAACTTGATGGTTGGGATTCAAGAAGAGCAGCAGTTCATCACATAACAAACATTATTCTTCAAACATCACTCAACAAACATCACACAGCAAACATCACATATCGAACATATCAAAGATCACATTTCAAACATCACATTAAAAATGAATAATCAGACATTACACACCAAACATGACATTGCAAACATGACATTGCAAACATGACATTGCAAACATGGCATATCAAACATGACATATCAAAGATCCGGTATCGAACATCACTCATCAAAAATCACTCAACAGTCATCACTCATTATGCTTCAGAATCAAATACCACTTATTACACGTCATGTATCAAACATCAGGCATCACATATCAGTCATCACACATCACATTCAGTCATCACACACCACATATCAGTATTACACATTAGTCATGACTGACAGTTACTGCATCTGATAAGGTAGTAGTTAATATCAGTTTTATGATGTTCTACAGTTTGTGGTGGGAGGAAGATTCTCTCTCTCTCTCTCTCTCTCTCTCTCTCTCTCTCTCTCTCTCTCTCTCTCTCTCTCTCTCTCTCTCTCCCTCTTTCTCTCTCTCTCTCTCTCTCATTCTCTCTCTCTCATTCTCTCTCACTCTCATCCTCTCTCTCTCTCTTTCTCTCTCTCTCTCTCTCTCTCTCTCTCTCTCTCTCTCATTCTCTCACTCTCATTCTCTCTCATTCTCTCACTCTCATTCTCTCTCTCATTCTCTCTCTCACTCTCATTCTGTCTCTCATTCTCTCTCTCTCACTCTCATTCTCTCTCTCTCATTTTCTCTCATTCTCTCTCATTCTCTCTCTCTCTCTCTCTCATTCTCTCTCTCATTCTCTCTCATTCTCTCTCTCTCTCTCACTCTCATTCTGTCTCTCATTCTCTCTCTCTCACTCTCATTCTCTCTCTCTCATTCTCTCTCATTCTCTCTCTCTCATTCTCTCTCTCATTCTCTCTCTCATTCTCTCTCATTCTCTCTCTCTCTCTCACTCTCATTCTCTCTCTCTCATTCTCTCTCTCTCACTCTCATTCTCTCTCTTTCATTCTCTCTCTGTCAGTTTCTCTCTCTCCCTCTCTCAGTCTCTCATTGTTTTTCTCTATATTTTTGTTTTTCAAATATTTATTTGTAAAAACTGTTTTGCTTTTGTAGAGGTGTTTGTACACAAGCTCCCTGCTACTGTATCATCATGGAATACTGTCCGTACGGCCAACTCTATGAAGTTTTGAGGGATGGTAAAGAAATTCCACCAGCGCTTGTTCTTGATTGGGCAAAGCAGATTGCCAGCGGCATGAACTACCTTCATTCACACAAGATAATACATCGAGATTTAAAGTCTCCAAAGTGAGTTTGCCATTAAAAGTTTTCCTTTCACATTCATCTTACCACCAGTTAAAAGAAGATACTGCTCATTTTCTGAATGTAAAGATTCTGAATTAGTGCATGTTGCCTTTTTCCTGTCTTTAATATGCTTACTTTAATAACCCTGTCACTCTGAGAAGCCACAAAACCACAGTTTGGACCAATTTCCCCTAAATGTCACTTTTTTTACTTGTGTATGAGATGTATAGTAAATGCTATTGGTTATATTCATGCCTGCACAAATGTTTGTGACGTCTGCACAAATGTTTGTGACTTCTGCACAAATGTGTGTGACAACACAGTGTTAAAATATCAAGTAAAAAATAGCATTTAGGGAACATTTTCTGTCAAACCAAATGTTTTTGTTCAAGTCAAGTTGACAGACAATTTTATTGAAGCCTCAATTATAGATTCCTCAAATCACAACATGAGTCACAAGATACATACATATATTTGTAGGTCCTGTGGAATGTATTCCATTGAATGCTTCTCTCAGATCATCTAATGATTACTCCCTTTATATTTCATCTAATGATTACTCCCTTTATATTTCATCTAATGAATACTCCCTTTATATTTCATCTAATGATTACTCCCTTTATATTTCATCTAATGATTACTCCCTTTATATTTCATCTAATGATTACTCCCTTTATATTTCATCTAATGATTACTCCCTTTATATTTCATCTAATGATTACTCCCTTTATATTTCATCTAATGATTAGTCCCTTTGTATATTTTTATATACATAGAAAAAATGCAACAATTTACCAAAATACATTTTATTTACACATTTTTAGTGAGCTGTGTAAAATTGCTTTTAAATGATTTTTCTCAAGAATTCCCACAGGGCTGTGACCCATTTTTTTAAAGTGTTGCTGAGTTTAAAGGGTGACCTTTAACCTGGAAATAGTCATTTGTACCATAATTTCAGGCTTAACCCTTTTAGCACGGGAAGTTTTTCAGAGGTCTAGCCAAAAATACGGAGCATTTTTTCAGTGAATTTGGTTATTACTTTATTTAATTTTTTTGACAGATTTCTGTTATTCTGACCCCTATGAAATAATATATCTATTTGAAGGATATAGATTGAAGTTCGTGATTTTCACAATATCGTTAAAATTAATTGATGTATATGCAAATTATCTCATTTGCATATCTAAAAATAGAAAATATGAATTTGAATTTTCAACTTCAATGCTTGAAACATAAAACTAAAAACAAAAGTTTTTTTTATTTGAAATCTTTTTATTGATCTTTGGCCTTTTTACAAATGTTGTAAGCAATTCAAAAGTCAAAAACAGCTATATATATGTGAAACAGCAATAATATCTTTAGGTGACATGTGTTTTTCACCATCAGTCAGCACTAGAAATGGATGTGCCGGAATGTCAACACCTTCGGGTGGATATACCCTGAGCCATGGTTGGGCTGTGACTGAACACAACAGCGTCCCCATCTGATTCCCACTATTACTACTAACACTAAATCCTGCATCAGTATCAACAGAATTAGTGTTATCACTTGATTCAAATGTTTTATCAACATCAAGTTTAGGGGCAGAAACATATGAGTCAGACATACTTTTAGCGGTTCAGGTCACTATCTAAAAAATTCAACAACAATTTTCACTTCAACACCAAACACTCGAAAGTCGCCATGTGTAAAGCTGATACTGCAGTTAATATAAATGAATCACTTTCAGTGTTTCAAAGTAGGAGATTTCTTAGCTGTTCGAGGCGAAACACGATCGGGCCGATCATCGGCCGTTCCGTGTTTTTGGCCAGACATCGCCGGCCGATAATCGGCCCGTCCGTGCTAAGAGGGTTAAGCTAGCTCATTCTGTGAATGTAAATATTTCAGAACTACAGTGGAAATATAATTTCTTTACTGTCATTTTTGTCAACATTTGAAATAAGAAAACATGGCCTCAAAAGAACATTAAGAGCAATATTAATACTTGTAACCAGACACTTCACTATGTCTTTGCTGGTGCTACTGAATTGGTGCACTGTGCTGAGTTTCTCTTTATGTGATCCATGGGAGGAGACAATGGTATTTAAGAAAGTCACTCGGTGAGCTAGTTGATCAACAGACTCATCAATAAACCATTTGTGTAACCAACAAACAAGTCAGTCAGATAAGTATTCAATCGGTTAATTAAACAACCATCAAATTATTTAGCCATTAACTTGACCATCTCATTAACCAAGAAACCAGTGAATCAACCAACTAGTCATCAATCGACCAGCCAAGCCATCAATCAGTGAATAAGCCCACCAATCATTGATCAACCAGCCAAGCCATCATTTAGTGAATCAACCAACAAATCATTGATTGACCAGCCAAGCCAATCAGTGAATCAGCCAACCAATCATTGATTGACCAGCCAAGCCATCAATCAGTAAATAAGCCCACCAATCATCGATCAACCAGCCAAGCCATCATTCAGTGAATAAGCCCACCAATCATTGATTAATGAGCCAAGTCATCAATCAGTGAATAAGCCCACCAATCATTGATTGACCAGCCAAGCCATCAATCAGTGAATCAACCAACCAATCATTGACTGATGAGCCAAGCCATCATTCAGTGAATAAGCCCACCAATCATTGATCAACCAGCCAAGCCATCAATCCGTGAATCAACCAGCCAGTCATTGATTAACTAGCCAAGCCATTATTCAGTGAATCAACCAACCATCATTGATTGACCAGCCAAGCCATCAATTCATGAATCAACCAGTCAGTCATCAATTGACCAGTCAAGCCATCAATCAGTGAATCAACCAATCAATCATCGATTGACCAGCCAAGCCATCAATCAGTCATTCAGTCGGAGATCCAGTAAATAAATTAATCAGATCCTCATGACCTTTCTGTATCATTTTGTCTAAAGAGTTACTTTACTCCGACAGTGTCCTGGTGGCCTCCAATGATATTGTGAAGATCTCAGACTTCGGGACCAGCCGCGAGTGGAACGAAAAGAGCACCAAAATGTCATTTGCTGGTACAGTTGCCTGGATGGCTCCAGAAGTTATTCGAAATGAAATGTGCAGCGAGAAAGTGGATATATGGTCAGTAAGATGTTAGGTCAATATTTGTGGTCTCCAGAATGCACTTTGCCCGTTCTTTCTTTGGTTTGTTCAAAGACACAACATTTCTCTGACTTTGTATTTTTGTTTCACAGTTATTACATTAACTAATTGTGTCAGATTTGTAAGTTTAGTTTCTTCTCTATCATAGTTTATTATTTTTGCTCCTTCATTCTTAAACATTGACCGATACTCATTTGGTTAGAAAGTTAAAAAAAAAATACAAGTATCTTTTGTATTCTTATTGTGCATGTTTTACAAGCATGCAGTTTAATATACAAATTTATTTAAATAATCTACAAATATTTCAGTGAAAACACACCTAATGAATGTTACATTAAAAAGCAAAACAACTTCTTCATGTAATTTCATGTCTAGATTTGTATCTAAAATTGTTATTTCAAATAGAACTGTCATATTTACAAGTTACCATTTTTGCAGTATTTGTGTGAACTGTGTTGTGTTCTGTTCCAGGTCATATGGAGTTGTTTTGTGGGAGTTGTTGACAGCGGAGGTGCCCTACAAGGATGTTGATTCCTCTGCTATCATCTGGGGTGTGGGCAGCAACAGCCTTCATCTACCTGTTCCAGGGACATGTCCAGAGGGATTTAAACTGCTCATGCGGCAGTGCTGGTTAGTGGAAACCTCATTAGTTCTGTAATATATATTATGTCTTTCCTCTTCTACACGAGGATGTCAGAGCTGCTCACAGATTGTTTTCTTTTCCTGTTCTAACCTGGGGTAGATACAAAGAGTTAAAGCAGTTGGTGGCTGTCAGGGGGAGAGATAACAAAACCTCTTTGACTTAATACTATAGGTCACTATATTGTCTAGGATAAGTATAGCTGACACAGCATCATTTAGTTTCAGCATTGTCTTACCAGATTCAAAAGGAGAGATTTCCCAGTTGTCAGGGGTTGAGAGGCAGGTGCAGTATCAAAGCACATGTGTACAACAAGTTCGTCTGAGCTGCTCTAACATACCATCTCCTCTGTGGCAGCCAGTTAGGTTTTTCTCTCATTCCTTGATTTTCCATTCACCTCTCATTATGATGTGATGGTATGATGATATGCACTGCTAAGCCGGGTGAAGGTATAATATTCTGCTGTAACTTCTCATACTCTCTTGGTCACCGACCCCACAACAACAGACTATCTCAGGACACTTTCAAGTTGTCAAGAATAACCGAGACATAGTTCTTCTAACATCATCTGATTCTATTATAATTATCACCGTTAATTCACTGACACATATTTCCTCACTGCCACTAGCTAAACTATCACTATCACTACTAGCACTGTTCTACACCCATGTGGTATGGACACACTGCAGTTGGCCAGACCATCCGCTGGCACGTCTGGTCGAGTACTGTCCTCAGCAGGCTCACGGCCCAAGCTCACGGCCCAAGCTCACGGCCCAAGCTCACTTCCCTTACTGCAGGTAATTCACAAGGACTTTTGTGCACACCGCCGTGACAATCACATGTTTAGTGCTTTTTTGGAATCCAACATTGCCCCGATCTCCAGCCCTTCCACACAAGACAATGGCAAATACTGTGATTTTGGTGTCAAGTGTTGGGCCTGCACACATTCTAGGCCTGCTCACATTCTAGGCCTGCGCACATTCTAGGCCTGCGCATATTCTAGGCCTGCACACATTCTAGGCCTGCTCACATTCTAGGCCTGCACACATTCTAGGCCTGCTCACATTCTAGGCCTGCGCATATTCTAGGTCAGGACATTTTTTGCCAGTTCCCTTCCTCTCTAAACAATTACAAGAACATTCTGGAATTATCTAGTACACATTTTGAAAAAAAAAAAAGTGGGGGGGGGGGGGGGGGGGGTTATTTTTTACATGCATTGAGATGTACTGGGTATGTGTCATGAGATGTACTGGGTGTGGGTCACGAGATGTACTGGGTGTGGGTCACGAGATGTACTGGGTATGTGTCATGAGATGTACTGGGTATGTGTCATAAGATGTACTGGGTGTGGGTCACGAGATGTACTGGGTATGTGTCATGAGATGTACTGGGTGTGGGTCACGAGATGTACTGGGTGTGGGTCACGAGATGTACTGGGTATGTGTCATGAGATGTACTGGGTATGTGTCATAAAATGTACTGGGTGTGGGTCACGAGATGTACTGGGTATGTGTCATGAGATGTACTGGGTGTGGGTCACGAGATGTACTGGGTGTGGGTCACGAGATGTACTGGGTATGTGTCATGAGATGTACTGGGTATGTGTCATAAGATGTACTGGGTGTGGGTCACGAGATGTACTGGGTATGTGTCATGAGATGTACTGGGTGTGGGTCACGAGATGTACTGGGTGTGGGTCACGAGATGTACTGGGTATGTGTCATGAGATGTACTGGGTATGTGTCATAAGATGTACTGGGTGTGGGTCACGAGATGTACTGGGTATGTGTCATGAGATGTACTGGGTGTGGGTCACGAGATGTACTGGGTGTGGGTCACGAGATGTACTGGGTATGTGTCATGAGATGTACTGGGTATGTGTCATAAGATGTACTGGGTGTGGGTCACGAGATGTACTGGGTATGTGTCATGAGATGTACTGGGTGTGGGTCACGAGATGTACTGGGTATGTGTCATGAGATGTACTGGGTATGTGTCATGAGATGTACTGGGTGTGGGTCACGAGATGTACTGGGTATGTGTCATGAGATGTACCGGATATGTGTCATGAGATGTACTGGGTGTGGGTCACGAGATGTACTGGGTATGTGTCATGAGATGTACTGGGTATGTGTCATGAGATGTACTGGGTGTGGGTCACGAGATGTACTGGGTATGTGTCATGAGATGTACTGGGTGTGTGTCATGAGATGTACTGGGTATGTGTCATGAGATGTACTGGGTATGTTTCATGAGATGTATGGAGTATGTGTCATGAGATGTACTAGGTGTGGGTCATGAGATGTACTAGGTATGTGTCATGAGATGTACTAGGTATGTGTCATGAGATGTACTGGGTGTGGGTCACGAGATGTGCTGGGTATGTGTCATGAGATGTACTGGGTATGTGTCATGAGATGTACTGGGTATGTGTCATGAGATGTATGGGGTATGTGTCATGAGATGTACTAGGTGTGGGTCATGAGATGTACTAGGTGTGGGTCACGAGATGTACTGGTATGTGTCATGAGATGTACTGGGTATGTGTCATGAGATGTACTGGGTATGTGTCATGAGATGTACTGGGTATGTGTCATGAGATGTACTGGGTATGTGTCATGAGATGTACTAGGTGTGGGTCATGAGATGTACTGGGTATGTGTCATGAGATGTACTAGGTGTGGGTCATGAGATGTACTGGGTATGTGTCATGAGATGTACTGGGTATGTGTCATGAGATGTACTGGGTATGTGTCATGAGATGTACTAGGTGTGGGTCATGAGATGTACTGGGTATGTGTCATGAGATGTACTGGGTATGTGTCATGAGATGTACTGGGTATGTGTCATGAGATGTACTGGGTATGTGTCATGAGATGTACTGGGTATGTGTCATGAGATGTACTGGGTATGTGTCATGAGATGTACTAGGTGTGGGTCATGAGATGTACTGGGTATGTGTCATGAGATGTACTGGGTATGTGTCATGAGATGTACTGGGTATGTGTCATGAGATGTACTAGGTGTGGGTCATGAGATGTACTGGGTATGTGTCATGAGATGTACGGTGTATGTGTCATGAGATTAACGGGGTATGTGTCATGAGATGTACTAGGTGTGTTTCACTATTTAATAGACAAATGAACACTGGATGAGATATAGGGTTAGAATCAGGAGTTCCTACTTTGCTTCCAGAACCTTTCTGTGCTATTTGCTGATTGGACAGACAGTACCACTGGGAAATGCTCCAAGTTTTTGGCCAGTGTAAGTCCCCGACCTGGTCTTGTAACTTTTGCAGGCCCTTAAGCCATTGATAAAAGATGTCAGATTGAATTTGTCTTCATTTTTAAACATGTTTCTCTTCTTATCTTTGTTGTCCAGGAGTGCCAAACCTCGCAACAGGCCATCTTTCCGGCAGATACTGATGCATTTGGAGATTGCGTCAACAGATCTGCTGAGCTACAGCCGTGAGGAGTTTGTGAGTTCCCAGGTTCGTGCCTGCCACCTTTAGACCAGTAAATTTTTCTGTGTGTCTTGTTGTTTTCCTGCTGCAGAAACCATGTCATTGCATTTGGAGCTCTTATAAATCCTCCATCTCTGTCAGCATAGAGTGTCTTTACAGTTTTTAAAAGTTTCAAGTCCAGAGAACTGATCTCATTGTACTGAGTTTTAGCCCGTTTTACCTGATCTCTCTCTCTCCCCACAGAACGCCTAGCCTCTTGCCAAGAGTATAGCACAAAGCATGAACTCAGTAGCTCCAGCATTGTTCCCTGGCAATCTGAATAAAAATTGCACTTGTGAACGATGTAAGCTCACAACCTCAGAATGGAAGGCACACATTGTAAACACTTGGCCAACTAGAATGTGTATGCAACTGTCGGCCATCGCAAGCTGGTTCTGGACACATCTCTGCCTCTCACATCTCAAAAGCTACAGTTGAATTCCTACTCTCCTCCAGCTTTGGGGCATTGTCCTACAGATGGGGAGTTGATTGTGAACATGTGTTGTTGTCAAAGAATTTTAATGCCTGTTTCCGAAACTTGAGTCCTGCCAATTTTTAACTGCAGGTCATATGGCGAGATGAAATCAGAGAAAACTTCCAGAAGATGAAAGCGGAGGGGTCTAATTTACCTCAGCTAGAAGAAGAGCTAATCAAACGGAGGAAAGAGGAACTTAGGTATGGGGAAAATAAAATGTTTTATAATTAATATATAATGTCTCATACTAATGCTATCATTGTTTTATATCCTTGCTGCCTGGTTTTCTTCAAGGTCTCAGTCTCAGACCTGTTCTACAGTTGCAGATTCCTGTCACATAAGATGACAGAATTACTTGATATTGTTCCTCCATGTAGTAAATGCCAGTGTTGCTTTTACTGTTTCTCTGCTTCTATTGTTTCTGTGCTACCACCATTTCTCTGTTTCTACTTTTTTCTGCTTCTGCTGTTTATTTGCTTCTGCTGACTTTCTGCTTCTGCTGTTCCTCTGCTTCTACTGTTTCTCTGCTTCTACTGTTCCTCTGCTTCTGCTGTTCCTCTGCTTCTGCTGTTCCTCTGCTTCTACTGTTTCTCTGCTTCTACTGTTTCTCTGCTTCTGCTGTTTCTCTGCTTCTGCTGTTTCTCTGCTTCTGCTGTTCCTCTGCTTCTGCTGTTCCTCTGCTTTTGCTGTTTCTCTGCTTCTGCTGTTCCTCTGCTTCTACTGTTCCTCTGCTTCTGCTGTTTCTCTGCTTCTGCTGTTCCTCTGCTTCTGCTGTTCCTCTGCTTCTGCTGTTCCTCTGCTTCTGCTGTTTTTCTGCTTCTGCTGTTCCTCTGCTTCTGCTGTTCCTCTGCTTCTTCTGTTCCTCTGCTTCTACTGTTTCTCTGCTTCTACTGTTTCTCTGCTTCTACTGTTCCTCTGCTTGAACTGTTACTCTGTTTGTTTCTCTGTTTCAACTGTTTCTACTGTTTCTCTGTTTCTACTGTTTCTCTGCTTCTGCTGTTACTCTGTTTCTGCTGTTTCTCTGCTTCTGCTGTCTCTCTGCTTCTGCTGTTCCTCTGTTTGTTTCTCTGTTTCAACTGTTTCTACTATTTCTCTGCTTCTGCTGACTTTCTGCTTCTGCTGTTTCTCTGCTTCTGCTGTTTCTACTGTTTCTCTGTTTCTACTGTTTCTCTGCTTCTGCTGTTCCTCTGTTTGTTTCTCTGTTTCAACTGTTTCTACTATTTCTCGGCTTCTACTGTTTCTACTGTTTATCTGCTTCTGCTGTTTCTCTGTTTCTACCGTTTCTCTGCTTGTACTATTTCTCTGCTTGTACTGTTTCTCTGCTTCTAATGTTTCTCTGTTTCTGCTGTTTCTCTGCTTGTGCTGTTTTTACTGTTTCTTTCCTTTAATTGTTTCTCTCTTTCTGCTGTTTCTCTGATTGTACTGTTTCTCTGTTTCAACTGTTTCTCTGCTTGTGCTGTTTCTACTGTTTCTCTGCTTTTGCTGTTTCTCTCCTTCTGCTGTTTCTCTGATTAACTGTGTCTACTGCTTCTGCTGTTTCTCTGCTTCTGCTGTTTCTCTGCTTTTGCTGTTTCTTTGTTTCTTCTGTTTCTCTGTTTTTACTGTTTCTCTGCTTCTTCTGTCTCTCTGTTATCTGTTCTTCTGTCTCTTCTGGTTACATGTTGTTGTTGTTGTTGTTATCGATCCAGCGGCGCATGAGCTTTCGCCCTTTGGCCCAATGCCATGTAGTGGAATTTGCATGTTTTCACAAGCTGTTCTTTTCCTCCGTACAAGGTGTTCCACTTGTCTGGTCTCGGAGGGAGTAGCGTTCTTCTTGTCTCACTGAGTTTTGGGCACTCAAAGAGATGGTGTTCAACAGTTTCGTAGGGGTAGTTACATAGCTGGCACTCTGGGGAGTGTTGTGGCTGTATTCTGTTTAGGTGTCCATTGAGTGGAGTATGTTGCGTTCTAAGTCTGAAGATGGTGGCCTGGTCCCTTCTTGTTAGATGGTTAATGCTGTCATTAGGATCAGGGCCAGACATATGTCTATAAACCTCTCTTCCAGTGTCTCCCATAGCCCATCTGTTCAACCAAGTCTCTTTGTTTATAGCTCTTATCAGTGTTTTTGCTGTCTGGAGGGTTGTCGCTGTAGGTGGTTGTTCTTGTGTTGCTCCTTTCTTTGCCAATCTGTCAGCTCTGTCATTACCTGGGTGTGCCGGAGTGACCTGGAATCCACTGCATCACTATTCTGATGTTGTATGAGGTAATAAGCTGATCGGCATCCAGGATTATCTTGGCTATGTCAGTTCTGCAGCGTTCATTGCCCTCCAGAGCTTGAAGGGCAGACATTGAATCTGTGAAGATGACAATATTTTGGACCTTTGAGGGGTAAACATCCATTACAGTCTTTAGGTGGTATACTGCTGTTTCCCAGTGCAATTATTTCAGCTTCATAGTTTGAACAGAATTCCCCGCATGCATCAAAATATCTTCAACAGATCCATCGGGATAACCTATGTAGATTCCGTAACCTGCTTTAATGGTAGCTTTAAATGCTGATCCATCAGTATAGACATGTATCCATTCTTGGGGGTAAGAATCAACGGTCTTTAGTGATGAGTTCATAAGAGCGATTGGGTCGGACTGTTTGGTTTCCTCGCCTACCAATTTAGTTTGGACTTCTGGAGCTTTAAAGCGAGCATGTGGTGGTAGGTTTTTTGCAACATTCTGAATTCCTTGACGTCTTTCTGGGAGGTGGTATCTGTCCTGAATTTCATTAACACAGTGTAAAACCGATTTGTGCTTTATTCTTTGTTTGGATTCCCAGTTTTCTACAAGGATGTCTATTAGGATGGTTACGATTTTTCCTAACGCAATCTTTCATAAATTTCTAAAGTGGCTTTTTCTCTCCGCAACCCGAGGGTTCCACATTGTATGGATTTCACATGCAGCAGTTGGTGTAGACTGCATAGCTCCGCAGATTAATCGGAGGGCATTATTTTGTACTCTGTTAAGAGTCTCTAGGTTAGTTTTGGAACAAGTTGTAAGCAGTAAGTTGTTGTACTCTATCACAGAGCGAACATATCCTAGGTATAAGCCCCTCAGAGTTTCCTTGTCTGATCCCCATGATGTACCTGCAAGTCTCTTTAATAACTGTAACCGCCTCAATGCCTTATTCCTGATGTTTTCAATATGGTTCTTGAGGCTGAGCTGCGGGTCAAGTGTGACTCCAAGGTATGTGGGATGCTCTTCTTTCATTACTTGGTGTTTGTCTAACCTCAGGTTAATATTCTTCCTTGCTTGCTACTTGGTGGCTTTTGGTAAAGATTGTGTAGACCGTCTTTGCACAGTTAATCTTGAGTTTCCATCTTTGGCAGTAATCATGCAGTCTTCTAAGGTCTCCATTCAGTCTTTGGGCTCCACTTTCCACATTTTCATGACTCTGCCATATTGCTAGGTCATCAGCGTACAAGGCTTTTTCGGCCTTGATTTGTTCTGGCAGGTCATTGATAAAGATTAGGAATAGTGTACAGCTCAATGATGAGCCTTGTGGCAAGCCCTCCTCCAAGACTTCTTTAGAAGAGATTGCGTTGTGCATCTTAGTCTGGATTGTTCTATCTATCAGGAAGTATTTCACCCAGTTATACAATCTGCCATGTATTCCTATGCTCATCATCTTCATCAGGAGACCTTTTCTCCATACTCTGTCATAGGCCTGCTGGAGATCGACAAAGACTGCCACTGTGTGTTTCTTATTCTGGAAGCCATCATGTATTCTTTGTGTCAGTCTGAACAGCTGGTCTTCTGTGCAGCTGTTGGTTCTGAAGCCTGCCTGTTCATGGCATAGAACACCAGAACTCTCAAGGAACCAATATAAGCGCCTGTTTATCATTCTTTCTGCAACTTTGCCCAAGCATGATGTTAAGGATATCCGGCGGTAGCTTTTGGGGTCATCTGGAGGCTTTTTGGTTTTAAGGATGGGGACGATATATGCATTCCTCCATGCCCTTGGAAGTTTGCTTGACCTCCAAGTTTTATTAATAAGCCTGAGAACTACTTCTCTCCCAGACCGGCCAAGATGTAGCAGCATTTCGTTGTGGATCTTATCTGGGCCTGGAGATTTTCTAGGTTTTAATTTCTTCAGGGCTTGCTCTAGTTCATCCATGCTAAATTCATTTTCAAAAAGGGAGTCGCTGGCTGTTGGAGCTCTCTCTTGTTTCTTTAACTGAGAGAGCTGTGTTCTATTGAGTTCTGTCAGCTTACCTGCTCTGTTAACTGAGGCAAAATAATGATTGAAATGTTCTGCTTTCTTCTTGTCTTCAGTGATTGTCTTACTCCCATCTGTCACTGGTTTTGGGTTCACCCTTCTACTTTCTCCGGAGAGGTTTTTAACTAAAGTCCATGCTTTATTTCCATTCTGTCTAAGGTCTAAGTTGGAGCAAGTTTCTGTCCATTTATCTCTTTTAGCCTTATTAACTACAAGCTTTACTCTGGCACATGCTTTATTGTATTGGATCTTTGCTTCTGTTGAACGTGCAGTTTCGAGAAATATTCTTGCTTTATTCCTTTCAGATATAGTATTTTGAATTTCTTGATTCCAAAAAGGTTTATATGCCTTCCGGCTGCCCCTTGGGATGGCTTTCGACGCTGCATTCAGGATTGCTTGTGTTATGTCTTCACAAAAAGTTTCCACACAGCTGTTGTCAATTCTTCCCAGGAGGCAGTCAGATGTTTCCTGAAATAGTTTCCAGTTTGCTTTTCGGAAATTCCAACAGGTTCTCTGCTTGAAGCGTAATTTAGGGGTGGTGCTTACAGTTGTGAGTATAGGTTTGTGGTCACTTCCTATGTCGTCCAGGACTTGGGGATAGCTTGCGTCTGCTAAGTCGGATGAGCAGATGGTCAGGTCTGGTCTGCTGAGAGATAGGTGGGCCCTGTGTAACAGTGTAGGTGTCTGGTCTGGTAGTCTGGTAGTCTTAGTTTCAGCTTCATAGCAAACGGGTTGCCCCATCTTTGCTCCGCTCCTGTGCCAGCGAAAAACACTCAGAATGTCTATCACAGTCCCTTGTGGAAAGATTGACAGACTGTTGTCTCAGCATATCTAGCATACACTCGCATTAAAGCATATGGTAGCCATCCGAAGTGCTAACACAAACAGTCCAACATTAGAAATGCAGTTCATCATTGATGATAGCAGAACTTGTCGTCAACAGATCAGCAGTTGTCCGCGTGATCAATTTTAATACGGGCCCCGCCAGCATTGAACGACAGGCATCGCGCCATTTTCTGAATCTACAATTCACACCACCACGTTGGTCACAGTCGAAAAAAACATTCCAAATGCAATCCGCAGCTCACAGGGTCACGCCATGCATTCAACTCAGAAGCTGGGCGACGAAACTATATCCAGTCTACAAATGGAGCAAAAATGCATCAGCCACCGTCCGGCAGAAGCAAAAAATTTGCCTCTGTTCCGAACGGCGCCGCTGTCTAGCGTCCATTTTAACCGGAAGTGTAGGTGTAGACTCTGTGTCCTGCAGCACTAATAGGTTAGTTGTTTCACAAGTATCTTCGATGTACTTCCCTGTGCTATTGTAGTCAGGGTAACCATAACGTGGCGAGTGTCCGTTGAAGTCACCAACAAGAAGGGTTTTATGGTACTGTGTCTTGTATAGTTCTGGTATGTTGCATGTTGTCTGAGGTGGGCTGTACACGTTGTATATCGTATATTTGCTTCCATTGTGCCAGATAGTTATTTTTTGCACATCTGTAGGGTGAGATGTAGACAGCATTGTTACATCTCCTTGTATGTCATTTCTGATATAGGTCACTATGCCCCGGCAGTCATTGCACTTACAGGCATAACTAGTATATCCAGTGAGATGCAGATCAGAGTCTTTATGCAGGGTTTCTTGTAGGGCAGCCACGTGTACCCTGTGGTTGTTTAGCAGTTTGGCAAGTTCAAGTTTCTTATTTCTTATTCCACAGATGTTCAGCTGCAGAATATTGAGCATCTGTGTATTTTTTGCTGTGCTGTCTGAGTTCTTTTTGCTCTCCCTCCCACTCTTCCTCCTCCTGGGGTGTCTGTTTTCCCTATTTATTTCAAATTTTCCAGTAGCCAATTTTTCGCACATGACAGCCTGGTTTCCCACTGTCTGGCGCGGGCCTTGATAGACGAGGCGACGACCGATCTCGTATGTATTCTTAAATTTTGACATATTCATGGCATTGTGGTGCTGGGGTGTCTGTGGATTACCTACCTCCCCGGTCAGCAGCTAGAAATGCCCTGTACCAGTTCTAAAGGAAATATGGGTTGTGTTTCTGCCTTTCCCTTTAACACGTAGCTAAGGTGGGGCTCACAGTGTTCTCATTCCCCGCCACCAGATTGCCTGCAGGTTTCGCTGAGCTCTTCATGTCTCTAAGCATGGCCTAAGCATGAGTAGTTGGGGCAACTGGATCGTCACGTCCTGAGTCCCTGTGCCTTCACGATAGTTTCCGGTATTCAGGGGGGTTAGCATACTTGTTTCCATTCCTAAGACTGTTCAGCACACCTCTGGTTCCTTCCCTCCCACAGGGGGCAGTACGGTGTGGTGCACCGGGTTTATTATCGAGGTTTGCTCCTCTAGATTTATTGTGTTTTGCCTGGGGATTCGCACCCCCAGTTACCGGGACTACCTCGGGGAGGCTGTGACTCTTCGCCACGCACAATGGTCTTGAGGTAAGAGAGGTTTTGCTAGGTCAAGAGGCTGACACCACAATGGACGCTCCTTTCGTGAACAGATATTCACTAGACCTAGGGTGAAGTAAGTGGGGGAACCCACTACCCACAACACCAACACTTCTTACCCCCTGCCTCTCGAGGTTACATTGTTAGCTGCCTCTGTCATCTCATCTCATGTTGTGATCTCCTTTTATTGCAACTTGGCCAGTGAGCAAGGTTGACATTTTGAACCACAAATTGGAATTAATTTGTTGTTGTTCAGTTGTCTTGAGGTTTCCAAGTTGATTTTTCATGACTGAGCTGCTCAAAGGCTTCACCTAGCATTCTGGTGTTCTATTTTGATCTGCCTGTCAGCTTTCCCAGCTTTTGTAAGAATACACCCCATTTGTTTACATTCAGGAGCCTTACCATCGAGTCATATGTGTGTTATCTTTTCTTTAGTTGTAAGTGCATTACAGTACTATCTATTAGTTTTATGTGTGTCACTATACCATTTTTGAGTTGTGAGTGCATTACAGTACTATCTTTTAGTTATATATGTGTCACAGTACCATTTTTGAGTTGTGAGTGCATTACAGTACTATCTTTTAGTTATATATGTGTCACAGTACCATTTTTGAGTTGTGAGTGCATTACAGTACTATCTTTTAGTTATATATGTGTCACAGTACCATTTTTTAGTAGTGAGTACATTACAGTACTATCTTTTAGTTATATATGTGTCACAGTACCATTTTTGAGTTGTCAATGCATTACGGTACTATCTTTGAATCCTGCATTGTTGCAGTATGATCTTTTAGTTACGAGGGGAAGTCAATAAGAAAGTCACAAATGTTTCTGTGAAGGCATGAAAATGTAGTTGGTGGTTTCTAAAAGGGTCATTAGGTGACAGCAACATTGAACTTTATGTCTTGGTATGTTAGGTGGCGCTAGGGGTTGCATGCACATTCATAACACAGAAAAAATGGTGACTGTACTTAGGGAGTGTACCCTTGATGAAAAATGTGCTATTGTGCATTTTTGTTTGTGCAAAAGGGCTGCCTGCAAAGGTCATTCATAAAGAAATGCTTTCTGTTTATGCTGACAAATGTTTATCCTGTAAAGCGGTGCATTCCTGAGTTAAAAAAAAAAAAGTTTCTCAAAGACATTCTAAAATTGTTGATGAAGTGCAATCTAGTCATCCTGCTGAGATTGCAGCAGATGCATCCATGCAGCAGGTGGAGGAGATGATTAGAGGCATAAGGTGAGCAACGGTTGACTCTGTAGCAGCTGCAATAGGGTACTTACATGTTTCAGCATGCAACAGCCCTTAGCAATTTCCACCATTATGTTGAAAAATAAAAGGACAGTCAGTGTATGTGTAAAATTAAATGGTTTTCAAGTTGCTATAATCTTTATTTTTTGTTTTTTTAAACAACCATTTATGACCTTTTTATTGACTTCCCCTCGTATATGTATGTCATCGTTTAGCTGTATGTATGTTATACTACTGTATTTTACTTATATGCATATGTTTAAACTACTGTCTTCAATTCCTGTATTGTTGCAGTACTATCATTTGTTACATGTGTTTTACAGTACTATCATTTGTTACACATGTGTTTTACAGTACTATCATTTGTTACACATGTGTTTTACAGTACTATCATTTGTTATACATGTGTTTTACAGTACTATCTGTGGGTTTTTCTACTCAGGCATGCCCAAGATGTCCGGGAGCATTATGAGAGAAAGTTGGAGCGTGCCAACAATCTCTACATGGAACTAACAGCCTGCATGCTGCAGCTGGAAAAGAGGGAACGGGAACTCATTAAGTGAGTCTATGTTTTGGTTTCTTCCTGATTTATAACACCATCTCTGACTGTCAGCAGGTTGTCTCCCTGATTTATAACATCTCTGACTGTCAGCAGGTTGTCTTCCTGATTGGTAACACCATCTCTGACTGTCAGCAGAGTGTCTTCCAGATTGATAACACCATCTCTAACTGTCAGCAGGTTGTCTTCCTGATTGATAACACCATCTCTGAATCTCTGACTATCAGCAGGTTGTCTTCCTGATTGGTAACACCATCTGTGACTGTCAGCAGGTTGTCTTCCTGATTGGTAACACCATCACTGACTGTCAGCAGAGTGTCTTCCTGATTGATAACACCATCTCTGAATCTCTGACTATCAGCAGGTTGTCTTCCTGATTGGTAACACCATCTGTGACTGTCAGCAGAGTGACTCCCTGATTGACAACACCATCTCTGACTATCAGCAGGTTGTCTTCCTGATTGATAACACCATCTCTGAATCTCTGACTATCAGCAGGTTGTCTTCCTGATTGGTAACACCATCTGTGACTGTCAGCAGAGTGACTCCCTGATTGACAACACCATCTCTGACTATCAGCAGGTTGTCTTCCTGATTGGTAACACCATCTGTGACTGTCAGCAGGTTGTCTTCCTGATTGGTAACACCATCACTGACTGTCAGCAGAGTGTCTTCCTGATTGATAACACCATCTCTGAATCTCTGACTATCAGCAGGTTGTCTTCCTGATTGGTAACACCATCTGTGACTGTCAGCAGGTTGTCTTCCTGATTGATAACACCATCACTGACTGTCAGCAGAGTGTCTTCCTGATTGATAACACCATCTGTGACTGTCAGCAGGTTGTCTTCCTGATTGATAACACCATCACTGACTGTCAGCAGAGTGTCTTCCTGATTGATAACACCATCTCTGAATCTCTGACTATCAGCAGGTTGTCTTCCTGATTGGTAACACCATCTGTGACTGTCAGCAGGTTGTCTTCCTGATTGGTAACACCATCACTGACTGTCAGCAGAGTGTCTTCCTGATTGATAACACCATCTCTGAATCTCTGACTGTCAGCAGGTTGTCTTCCTGATTGATAACACCATCTCTGACTGTCAACATGTTGTCCCCAATATTAATGCATTGTCTGTACTACTGATATACACATTTATTTGTTACTGATGTAATTAGTATTTATACTAGACACTCTTAAATTATTTTTTTTTTTATTATTTTTTTTTTTATTTATAAGAAATATATAAATAAGACTATATGTCCTTCTGAAACCTGGAGTTCAGCTTACAAGAGATGGAGCCTAAGTACAAAAGTCATGTTGAAAATGTGGAGCCATCAAAGGTGCCACAAGTGGAAAATAGGACCAGTAAAAAGTAACAACCACAAGTATTATATATTTAAATCAGCATTCATCACTGGCACCTTGGGGGCAACAGACTTCAGTGTTTGGAACATACAGAAATCACAGCAAATAACAGAGACAAAAGCTGTATACATGAATACACTAAAGAGTTGAATTTGAGCAAATCAAGAAGGTGATGGAGAGATGATGTTTAAGTAGACCTACGAACACTTGGAGTCACCAAGTGAAAAGAGAGGGCCACCAGAGAGATGAATGGAGATGAGTAGTATCTGCATCAGTTAACGTCAAAGGCTCCGAGTGCTAAATAAAAAGAAAAAATAAGAAAACTTGTCCCCAGCAGAATATTAATAGTTTAGGCTGACGAGTGAAAGGAAACAATTCTAACTAATTTTATTTAAGCTAATTTGCTTCAGCAGAAAAATTGAAACATTCAAGAGTTTTTGTGAACACGTAGTACGTAAAACTTATTTCTTGTTGTGTGCAAATGAAAAAAAAAGGTTTAGAAGTTACATTTAAATGCTGGCAACAAACTTATTGCATTGAATTTTTGTTTAATCAGACGAGAGCAGCAACTGACTCTTTACAATAAACGCAGGAAGAGTATAGTTCGACCAATCATCAAGGCTCAGGAGAACCTTGACAGGCTGGGTAAAAAACGCACACATCGTTCTGGTTCAGAGGTCACCACGTAAGTTTAGTTTTTTTTAACATCATAATTATAAATATTATATTTGTAAAGAGCAGTTTGCTACCTGCACAGAAAAGCAAAACACAGCAGACAGGAAAATGTGACAGAGATTGAGAGCAGGGTAGGGTAAACAAAAGCTAGGAAGATGAAAAGTCTCTTATGTAACAAGTCACTTTCATTGATGTTGAAGACAGAATGCCACAGTCTAATATGGAATCTGTCCTCTGACACAGAAGTTTAATCCTGGAATGTCGATAAAGAGAGCTGTGAGGCAGTAGAGCTGTGAGGCAGTAGAGCTGTGAGGCAGTAGAGCTGTGGTCGTTGACACCTTTGGCAACTAGAATAAGTAACTATGGTAATCTGGGAAAACCTCATGAAAGTTGAATAGTGTATGCAGGGATAAGAAAGAGACAGAATGTGTCCACTGATCATGAAACCATCGTGGTATGATCACTAGAAGGATCAGCAGATAAAGAGGCAGACGCAGAGAAGTTCTGGTGTATGGTTTGAGACAGTGACCTGGAGGAATGTCAACCACTTAACTGATAGACAAAGATCGTTCTTGTTCTTGTTTCTCTTTTCAACTTCTTCTTCTTCTTCTTCTTCTTCTTCTTCTTCTTCTTCTTCTTCTTCTTCTTCTTCTTCTTCTTCTTCTTTTCTTCTTTTTCTTTTTCTTCTTCTTCTTCTTCTTCTTCTTCTTCTTCTTTCTTTTTCTTCTTCTTCTTCTTCTTCTTCTTCTTCTTCTTCTTCTTCTTCTTCTTCTTCTTCTTCTTCTTCTTCTTCTTCTTCTTCTTCTTCTTTTTCTTTTTCTTATTCTTCTTCTTTTTCTTATTCTTCTTTTTCTTCTCCTTCTTCTTCTTCTCCTTCTTCTTCTCCTTCTTCTTCTTCTTCTTCTTCTTCTTCTTCTTCTTCTTCTTCTTCTTTTTTTTTTTCTTCTTCTTTTTCTTCTTCTTCCTCTTCTTTTCTTCCTTTTCTTCTTTTTCTTCTTCTTCCCCATTTGAGCTCAGACCCTCACCCAACTCATGCCAAGTTGTCCTATCCTTTGCTGCTGACCCCATGTCCTTCCCATCTTCTTTCACTTCACTCTGTAGCTCATGTCTTCGTGTTTTTTCCTGTCTCCTTCTATTTTTATGACTCTGTGGGTTCCTGAGATTTTTTAGAAAGGCAGGTTTACGTGATGGGATATCACATGATAATTGTAGAAACAAAATATTTTTGTGAGTTGTGTGTGTGTTTGATTGTAGTTGTGTGTGTGTTTGATTATATTTGTGTGTGTGTTTGATTATAGTTGTGTGTGTGTTTGATTATAGTTGTGTGTGTGGCTCATCATCATTGCAGATGTGAAGCACGTCCATTGGTGCTTTTATGAGTTTAGTGTGTGTATTTTTTGTGTGTGGTCCATGTTTGCGTGTTTTGTATAATGTTATGCGAGTGTGTGTTGTGTGCCTGTGTTTCTGTTTAATGTAATGTTGAAAATAGTTGACAAGAAATTTACCTAAGTAATTTTGTTTCTTTACTCTTCATCTTATGTCCACACATTTGATGTTGTCCTGTGTAACTCTTCATGCTCATATGTTAGAACCTTGTCTCCATCTTTTTCGTGAGAACTGCTGACATCTTTTTTTGTGTGGCTTACTCCAGGCCAGACTCCATGAAGAACACTGAAGGCAGCATGACAACGAGTTCAGAACTGGTACTTCCATCACCAACCAAGATGAGAGCAAGGAAGTCTCGTCACCGGCGCAACAACAGCCGAGGATCCATGAAGGATGTTGTCTCCCCGGTGAGATCTGCTTCGTGTGAAATTTTTCACGATGATCAAAGTTTGGAGCATCCGAGGCCAGCTGGCTTACATCATATTGAACATGGCTCACATTCACCCTACCCTGGCACATTTAAATATCTAGGTCCTGGCACAGCCATCAGAGAGCAGCGCAGTGAAGATGAAATTGAGGGAATGGAAGATAAACTATACCGTAGACAGCAAGTTGTGGCCAAACGGAATGATTCTTGTAATGAGAATTGTTCTTTGGCTGCTGCTTCTCCTGCTGCATCTGGGCGATTAACGAATTTGAGATGTTCTGGTAGTTTTAAGACTGCTAATGTCAATGATGTCTGTTTTGGGTGTGACGGAGGCTGCAGCGACGCGACTTGCAGCAGCAAGAGGTCATCCCAGATCAGTGCAGACGTGGAAAGCACATGTGATCTATCTCCACTGCCTAGTCCCAGACACCCACCATTAGAGACAATGAGTGAGAAATCATCGCCAGAGGGAGAATCCTCCCGGCCAGACACTGCTTCTGGGTCATGTTCTTGTTCACCGATGGCCTCGCCTGCTGAAGTGCAGTCCAATACTCGACCTAATCCCACCAGAGAGAAAGACTCCAATGAAAATTTAAACTGCCCCACGATGACCTCAAACATAAACGACGCCTCAGAGTTGACTATCAGTGTACATTATCAGCAGAGCACAACGGATGCTGACTGCTGTACCACAGCCACCAGCGACAACACTTGCAACACTTTTACCTCCGAGACCATCATGAACCCTAGTACAAACAGCCAGATATTGTTAATGACCCCTAGAGGTTCAGGGGTCAAACGAGTACATAGCAGTAATGATGTTACCAAAAGACATAACAGAAGTCCATCCAGACGACGCAGCTCTGACATCCAACAGGGTCGAAGTTATGAAAGAGGATATAGCACAGTTGAGAACAGGACATTTGAACGAACCCCAGCTAGTAGAAATTCTCCAAGAGCAGTCAAGCGAGAAAGTAATGAAGGGTCAATACAAAACTCAGCTGTGAGATTTAGGAAAACAAAAGTGAGTAATTTTCTTCTTACCTTGTAAACTTTATTAATTCATATTCAGTTTTCTTGGTAGCACAGATGTTTAAAAAGTCTGACATATTGTATTCATTATTTTGTTAATGTCTTTCATGCATTGTTAGTGGATTTGGGTCTTTCTGTTAAAAGTTTAGTGTTTTTTATTAAAACGTTATTTAACAAACATTAAAATTTTATTTATCAACATTGACTAAACGCAGCTATTATTTAACTTAATCTATCTCACAAATCATTACTCAAATTTATCAGTGTTTGCTTCACAAAGAGCTAAAATAATGGCACTGTGAGGGAGTTAAAGCTACTCAGGAGACAGAAAAAGTTAATTTAACACACTTGGCATGATGTAAGGGGTTAACTTTTTGACTCTAAGATGCGGCAGTCCCGGTATTTGTTTCTATCACGAAGCCCAGTTAATGTCAGTGGTTCAGCTCATGGCTGTACAGAAGCCCAGTTAGTGGCAGTGGTTCAGCTTGTGGCTGTACAGAAGCCCAGTTAATGGCAGTGGTTCAGCTCATGGCTGTACAGAAGCCCAGTTAATGTCAGTGGTTCAGCTCATGGCTGTACAGAAGCCCAGTTAATGGCAGTGGTTCAGCTCATGGCTGTACAGAAGCCCAGTTAATGACAGTGGTTCAGCTTGTGGCTGTACAGAAGCCCAGTTAGTGTCAGTGGTTCAGCTTGTGGCTGTACAGAAGCCCAGTTAATGTCAATGGTTCAGCTTGTGGCTGTACAGAAGCCCAGTTAATGTCAGTGGTTTAGCTTGTGGCTGTACAGAAGCCCAGTTAATGTCAGTGGTTCAGCTTGTGGCTGTACAGAAGCCCAGTTAATGTCAGTGGTTTAGCTTGTGGCTGTACAGAAGCCCAGTTAATGGCAGTGGTTCAGCTTGTGGCTGTACAGAGGCCCAGTTAATGGCAGTGGTTCAGCTTGTGGCTGTACAGAAGCCCAGTTAATGGCAGTGGTTCAGCTTGTGGCTGTACAGAAGCCCAGTTAATGTCAGTGGTTCAGCTTGTGGCTGTACAGAAGCCCAGTTAGTGGCAGTGGCTCAGCTTGTGGCTGTACAGAAGCCCAGTTAATGTCAGTGGTTCAGCTTGTGGCTGTACAGAAGCCCAGTTAATGTCAGTGGTTTAGCTTGTGGCTGTACAGTGTTAAGAAGACCACCGTATGATTATGCTTATTGATTATTCCCTCTTGTTTTACTTAACAAACAGTTAGTCAGTGTTTATAACAAACAGTTAGTCAGTGTTTATAACAAACAGTTAGTCAGTGTTTATAACAAACAGTTATTCGGTGTTTATAACAAACAGTTAGTCAGTGTTTATAACAAACAGTTAGTCAGTGTTTATAACAAACAGGTGTCCAGACATACTCTCCAAGATAACAGGCTCTAAGCACCCTGGGGAGGTGTTTTTCTCATAATATTACCAGAGCAGTGAACTACCAGCCTACACTTTGTGGTGAACCACCAGCCTACACTTTGTGGTGAACCACCAGCCTACACTTTTTGGTGATCCACCAGTCTACACTTTGTGGTGATCCACCAGCCTACACTTTGTGGTGATCCACCAGCCTACACTTTGTGGTGATCCACCAGTCTACACTTTGTGGTGATCCACCAGCCTACACTTTGTGGTGATCCACCAGCCTACACTTTGTGGTGATCCACCAGGTTACACTTTGTAATCTAGAGTTGCTGTGGGTTCTATGTCCTGCACTTCTTGCACACAGAACCTCCAGTTTTGTTTCTTGTGTCCAAGAAAGCTTTTTACCCAGTTTAACTGTTCCAAAGTTCAGGGGGACATTTCAAACTCAGCATCAGTGGTTTATGCAAACATTTCCAGCATAGGCTGGGGGTGGAAGAAATGTTGCATTTTTTCAAACCCCTCTGTTTTGATCTGTGAGCAGTGTCTTCTGTAGCTTCTGTGTTTGAATATGTGATGGAGATCTTGACTTTTAGCCATAAGCAGATGGAAAAGATACAGAATGAGGCTATGCACATCATAATTAGGTGTAGAAGAGATATAGCATGCAGGGTTTCCAACCATGGAAGACAGAATACAAATTTCCTGAGCACGCGCCTACCTCACAGTCAAAGCAGACAAACAACATCCATTCCATAGACAAATGAAGAAGATATAAGGCAGATCAAAAAGAGGGAAATCATGGATGGGTCAAGCCGAGGACATTATTTCACAGGTATGTTCACTTGAGGACATAACACCCGGTGAGGAGTGGGTGCAAGTGCCTTCACAGTGCTGTACATCCTTTTCTTCTTGCATCCAACTAGACAGAAAACACAGACAACAGAGTCTGGCTGCTTAAGAAGAAAAAGAAGTTCAAGCCTTGATTTTCAAGAACGCTCTAGAGGCTGATGCTGTCATTTACACAGATGGGTCCGTCATCTGCCATGCTAGAAGCTCATGGGCTTTCACGGCTCAGGTTAGAGGGAGAGTTGTGGAGGAAGATTCTGGAGCTGTTGCCGTAACTAAAAGTAGTCTGACTATGGAGGTCATGGCTGTGACAAAAGCAGTAACATGGCTAGAGACACAGACTTTCACTGGAGCTCGCTTTCTCAGTGACTCAATGAGTATGTTCAGGAAGATAGAGAAGGACTGGGTCCGAAGGCAGTGGTTAGTGGCTCTACAGAATTCACGGCTGACAAGGATTAGTTTCATTTTCATGCCAGGACATTAGGGAGTACAAGGAAATGAGCAAGCTGACAGACTTGCAGGTAAGGCTACTGTGAAAGCCAGAAAAGCTATGGACCAGGCTGAAATACTGAATGCTCTATGAGATTTAAGACGTTTACGTGAACCAACTGAGAACTGTGAATCTGCAACCATGTTTAGACTGCATGAACAGCAAGTTAAACTGGGTGTCGCCAAACAAGAACACTACACAGGTAGCCAAAGAAGAATAAAAAACCTTCGTCAGCCGCTACACGCTGCAGGATTGACTGAGGAGGGGATCCGAGCACTTATGGACTGAGTGGTTGGTCGTGCAGTGACGATAATCTGTCAACTAACAAACTAACATATACCGTGCATATTTTTTTTTGCTGGATGTGTTTGGTTCAGTCAGGGATCACTTTGACTGTGTAAAAATGCTCCTCACCTCCCGGAGACATCCTTGTGGGTGTGCTAGATTTGGGGACTGTCATCATCGTAGGCATTAGCTGTGATTCTCTCTGTCTCACAGAGTGCTGTGTTTGAGTTCTGCACATGCTTCCTCACTGCAGAGGCCGTGGTCAATACTTCCCACATTAGACAAACTAGAGCCCAGGATGTTAAATGTTAAATGCTGAATGTTGAATTGAGAATCAACATCACAGCACTCAGGACACCCCCATTTTCCCTGAGTGTCGAGCATCGGCCAGATCCCCTTGTAACTCCTCACAGTGCCATTCTCCTCAGACCGTAATGATCTGTCTGTTCCTTGGCACTGTTTACTCACTTCCAAAGGGCCCTCACGACATCCAGCTTGTCATACATCAGTTCACCACCAAGTGGTGCAGAACAGGCCAGTCTATCCACCTGTTCATTTCCTAACACACCGGTATTACCTGGATAAAATATCCAAAGGATGTTAACTACCCATGACCTCTAAAGTGTTGCTTGCCACTCTGCACAGAGCATACCTGTCTCCACCTTTTTCAACATGCTCTGTGAGTCAGTTAAAATGACTGCATGTGTGTACAGCTGATTCTCAAGCTAGCAGAAGGCAGCAGTGACTGCCTCCACCTCCATTCTTGAACTAGACATTGTGATATCATATGCCAGCCTTTGTTGCACCAAGCAATGCCCATTCGCCTTAGTCTGATGCACTTCATCTGCCCCTCAAGGCAGAGCCATCTGTATATACAATCACATCATCTGGGCAGGAATTTTAGCCCAGGATGTCCCACAGACTATTGTCTGCCCAGGATGTCCCACAGACTATTGTCTGCCCAGCATGTCCCACAGACTATTGTCTGCCCAGGATGTCCAACAGACTATTGTCTACCCATCATGTCCCACAGACTAGTGTCTGCCCAGGATGTTCCACTAGTGTCTGCCCGGGATGTCCTACAGACTAGTGTCTGCCCAGCATGTCCCACAGACTAGTGTCTGTCAAGAATGTCCCACAGACTAGTGTCTGCCCAGCATGTCCCACCTGCCCGGGATGTCCTACAGAGTGTCTGCCTGGGATTTCCCACAGACTATTGTCTGCCCGGGATATCTCACAGACTATTGTCTGCCTGGGATGTCCCACAGACTATTGTCTGCCCAGGATGTCCTACAGACTAGTATCTGCCCGGGATGTCCCACAGACTATTGTCTGCCCAGGATGTCCTACAGACTAGTATCTGCCCAGGATGTCCCACAGACTGTTGTCTGCCCAGGATACCCCTAAGAAGGTAGAGAAAGGACTTGGTCATTATAAACCTTGATCTTTTTGCATTACTGTCATATGTTAAAATCCCCATTTAGGTGAGGATTTGAACAAATTCCCCCTGAGCTTTCTTGTTTTATCCCATCCACCCCAACCACTCTCCCCGTTTACCCCCGAATGAGTACAGAGAAATGTTCTGGGAAGTAAACCTGACTTGCCTGACTTTAGCCAATGTCTCAAGTTGTAGAAAAGTTATTTGTTTTCTGTTTACTAACATAACAGACCATGCTGTATTCTTTGCAAATTATATTCCTGTTAATGTTTTTGTGTATGGGAGAAAGAACTTGTTATCTATATCAGTTCTTCAGGAAAAAATAAACATGAGGATAAATAAACAATTTGCTAATTTGATTTTAGCATTCCGAGGATTCCTGGTCTGAAGAAGAAGGTGATGTCAGTGACGAGGAGGAGGCCAAACAGCGACCTCCTTGCAGACAGTCTTTTTCAACACTGAGTTCTGAGGGTGTGTTTTCGGAGGAGGATGCCAGTGACCGCTCGGGGAACAGAGATGGCAGCAGGGACGGGGATAATGGGCTGCTCTCGACTGGGAGTGCAGAAAACTTGCAGGCAGAACTGGCCAAGTGTACCTGCATAAACGATGGGTTGTCCGACAAAGAGAAGACAGTCCGCAAGATGACAAATAAAGTTAACTCTCCAGAACGGACATTTGAGGTTTGTATTCATGCATTTTATTTTTGGGAGACAACACTTTTGGTAATTCCTTTCTTCTAGATCTGTTGTTGTTGTTTTTTTTAATATAATTTTTTATTGTCCTTCTTTTTGTTTTGTTGCAACAGTCACAGATTTCCGTAGAGTTACTTCCCTGTTTGACACACTGCCTCTTAAACAAGCATGTCATAAGAGGAAACTAAGAATTTGCTGAAATTGAATGTTGGTCCAAAACGCAACTTAGCTGTAACATACCTGCTGCCCTTGTACGGGTGAACACAGATGGTGAAGAAGAATTTTTATTGATATATTTGGACCTGCCACTGATAAATTTGGACCTGCCATTGATATATTTGGACCTGCCACTGATAAATTTGGACCTGCCATTGATATATTTGGACCTGCCACTGATAAATTTGGACCTGCCATTGATATATTTGGACCTGCCACTGATAAATTTGGACCTGCCATTGATATATTTGGACCTGCCACTGATAAATTTGGACCTGCCATTGATATATTTGGACCTGCCACTGATAAATTTGGACCTGCCATTGATATATTTGGACCTGCCACTGATAAATTTGGACCTGCCATTGATATATTTGGACCTGCCATTGATATATTTGGACCTGCCACTGATAAATTGTGACCTGCCATTGATATATTTGGACCTGCCACTGATACATTTTAACCTGCCATTGATACATTTGGACCTGCCACTGATAAATTTTGACCTATCATTGGTAAATTTGGACCCGCCATTGATAAATTTAGACCTACCATTGATACATTTGGACCTGCTATTGATAAATTTGGACCTGCAATTGATAAATTTGGATCTGCCAGTAATTTTTGTAAATGTATAGACATATCATTAAAAATCTGTAGACTTGTCAGTGATATCTGTAGGTGTATCATCTGTTTGACACTGGAATCTGAGGCCTTGCTTTTGTCCCTGATGCTGAAACTGTTATGTCCCTGGTGCTGAAACTGTTATGTCCCTGGTGCTGAAACTGTGATGTCCCTGGTGCTGAAACTGTGATGTCCCTGGTGCTGAAACTGTTATGTCCCTGGTGCTGAAACTGTTATGTCCCTGGTGCTGAAACTGTTATTTCCTTGTTGTTTGCCTTGATTATTGCAATAACAGAAGAAATATGAAACTAAGGCTTGATAAACTCCCTCTCATTTCGAGTTTGTAGTAAATGATTATCCAGCCATCTCATATAATGGTAAACTATTCGAAAAGTTCAAGCTTGGCACATGATAGATCCTTGGCAGTTGGTTATCATAAAAAGTAGGTCATAATGAAAGACTGCCCTATAAAAATTGCACAAATTTGAAATGCTGCCCAAACTTGAATATTTATAGCATATGTAGATAAAACACTTATGTGGACGGGAAGGCAAGTGCAATAGTTCAACCCCCCCCCCCCCCCCCCCCAGAACACAAATATTTGGCCAGTCCATCTTAAACTTTGGTGGAGTGACAACATTTTGATTAAAAAATACACATTAACCAGTTATTTTGTGTAGCGAATGTACAACCAGCTGTGTTCTCTAGGAATTGGTTTCATGCAGCCTGTCCCTTTTTTTTTGCTTTTATTGATTGATTGAAAGTAAAAGTGCAGTGTTCTTTGTTGCTTGATTCGAAAGTCACAGATATTGAAATATTTTTTTTATTTTCTATCCCCAGAAAAGTCATGCTGATTCAAGCACAGATTCTGATGAATGCTCGGACATGACTGTATCCTCAACAATTCATAAAACACGGTCTCTAGAGGGCAGCACACACTGGTAGTAGCAGCCAAGGGCCAGATAATTGAAGCAGCTATTTTGTCCCGTGCTGCAGTGAGTAAACTGACCAGCCAGTTCCAGACAGTGTTGACACTGTCAGCAGTTGCCCAGTAAAACCACAAATTCTGTGAGGCTGAGTCGACAACTCTGCTCCTTACTGCTTGGGCGTCTGGCTAGTGTCCATGGGCCTGTGATTATTGAAATGTCTCAAGATGGATTTATTGCCTGTTTGGCTGCCAGGAAACAAAACCAGAAATTTCTGAACTGATATATGTAGAACTGCCAGAGACTCAAGTGATGTAACTGACAACATTCCTGTAATATGGTCTTCATTTCAAATATGGATTTATATCCTCTGTGGTTATGTCAAGATGATAGACGATTATTTTCCTTTGTGATTTTCTCAAATCGTCAGTGAAATCCGTATGTCTGCTTCCCCAGATTGTGACAGAAAACTAACTAATAATAAATTACAAATAAATAAATGAAAAATTTTTGATTAATCCCAAGTACAATATGTTCGGCTACTTCTGAACACATTTTGGGATTATCTGGCATAGTCTTAGAACATTGGTTAACAGACTAAAAATCTGGCGTGGACCTGGCCTCCATCAGAATCAAGACATTGCTACCTCATTTAGTGAAATATTCATCTAACTACATGTAGCTGTCATTGCATGTATCCACTAGAATGTTTATTTAATTCAATTTCACATCCATTGTATGTGAATTGGGAATGTTTGTGTTATTGGTTATCACATGTGCAAGGTCTGTCTAAGTAAATATACTGAATCCAATATTCTGAAGGCGGTGGACACCAAGTTGTGTTCCATAGACAGTATTTGAATAACAGCACCAAATGTGGCAGGGAATCGGACTGTGGTAAATGCTTTTAACTCTCTGGCAGCAGGTGGATTTAAGACAACTTATAGAAGATACATGAGCAGTTTGTTAGTACGATTTGGGATTGCCAGGATTGTGTTTGTTCTTACTCTGTGCAGTTTGGCATATGATTTTTCCATCAGACTCAAAAAGGAGCTTAGCAAATGTTGAAAACCCCGCTGCTCCAGAGCGGACATTTTTCCTACTGTCTGACGCCAGGAACCACTGGACATGTCACCAGGCAGCAGGAGGATGTGGAAGTATTAACGACCAGTTACTCCAGCATACTGTGTCTCGCTACTTGCTTTGATCAGAGATTCTTCATCAGTTTGTTTCTGAATCAAAAGGACATCACCTATCCAAGTTGAACTATGTGCTGGTCTTTCTGCTTCTAATGTCATGTTCTCATGGCTTCAGATGCTTTGCTGGTAGTAACAATACTTGTGACGCATTCCCTCAGGCCAGGCAGCCATAAGAAGGAAGAAGACGATGAAAGAAATATGTCTTGCAGACAAACTGAGGACAGTCAAAGGACAGAGAAGAACGGGTAGACGGAGTGACTGATTAATTAGGGGGAAAAGGTGTGGGGGGGGGGGGGGGGGGTGGGGGGGGGGGCTAAGAGCCGGCCACTACAACACAATACAAGTTTTGGCTAATTATGTGGTTATGATACAAGTTAGAATTGAGGCTACGGTTAAAGTACAAGTTAGAGTTAACTGTGGGGCTATGGTACTAGTTGGAATTAACCATGAGGCTGTGGTTGAAGTACAAGTTAAAATTAACTGTGAGAATATGGTACAAGTTAGAATTAACTGTGAGAATATGGTACAAGTTAAAATTAACTATGAGCCTATGGTTAAAGTACAAGTTAGAATTAACTTTGAGGCTGTGGGTAAAGTATAAGTTAGAATTAACTGTGTGGCTGTGGTACAAGTTAGAATTAACTGTGAGGCTATGGGTAAAGTACAAGTTAGAATTAACTGTGTGGCTGTGGTACAAGTTAGAATTAACTGTGAGGCTATGGCTAAAGTATAAGTTAGTTAACTGTGTGGCTGTGGTACAAGTTAGAATTAACTGTGAGGCTATGGGTAAAGTATAAGTTAGAATTAACTGTGAGGCCATGGTACAAGTTGGAATTAACTGTGAGGCTGTGGTACAAGTTAGAATTAACTGTGAGGCTATGGGTAAAGTATAAGTTAGAATTAACTGTGTGGCTATGGCTAAAGTATAAGTTAGAATTAACTGTGAGGCTGTGGTACAAGTTGGAATTAACTGTGAGGCTGTGGTACAAGTTAGAATTAACTGTGAGGCCATAGTACAAGTTAGAATTAACTTTGAAGCCATGGTACAAGTTAGAATTAACTGTGAGGCTGTGGTACAAGTTAGAATTAACTTTAAGGCCATGGTACAAGTTAGAATTAACTGTGTGGCTGTGATACAAGTCAGAATTAACTGTGATGCTGTGGTAAAAGTTATAACTAACTGTGTGGCTGTGTCCATTCGACAAGCAGCAGAGAGTTTCAGATACTGTCCTCTTTTTACACTGGGTCAGTTTTAGTAGTTGATATTGAAGTTGAGTATTCTGTTTCTCTTTCACTTGGATTAAAAACTTCTCTTATGAAGATTTCAACACAGAACAAGTCACCAGAACCTCTAAACTGATATCGTTCTATCTGAACTGTTTAGTTATTCTTTACTGTTTAACATCACACACACACACACACGTATGTACTCATGCACGCACACACACACACACGTCTGTACTCATGCACGCACACACACACACGTATGTACTCATGCACGCACACACACACACACACGTATGTACTCATGCACGCACACACATCCGTGATTGTTACATACTCAGAAAGCATGTTGAGGAAGGTGAGGGCAGCCATGTTTCGTACAGAGTGGCAGGCTTCACCTCGGAGGTCACAGGTGAAGAGCATTGTCTGGATCTTTTCTCCCAGCAGGCCAGTGTGTTGGGAAATAAATAGGCGGACAGATTAGCTGCTTCTGCACAATTTGGTGGAATACTAATGCAAAGGCAGACGTGGTTAGGGCCGTGTCGGAGAAGTTGTACAATTCAGAACAGCAAATTGATCATCACAATCTGGTGAGAGTGAGACAGCAGAGAGTGACGAGGGGATCTTGCTGATACTGGCTACTGGCACAATTGGTATTGAATTTCTTTGCTGGCTGCTGAAGATGGGGACAGAGCGCTTATGGGAATGTCCAGAATGCTTTGAGGTCTGTTCTTGAATCAACTCAACTCAGCTCTATTGTTTAGTTTTGCTTACTACAGTGAAGTCCATACTAGAGACAATATTACAGGTATAGATAATTTATTTCAAGCAAATAAAATAAGAAATTTTAAAGCAGAAAACAAAATTCCTGGAACATACTGATGATTTCAAAAGGGTTGAGGATTTAGCATGATGAGTTATATTTTGTTTATTTAAACAGGTAACAATAAATACTGTTTTGAAATCAAATGAAGATGGAATAAGTAAGAAAACAGCTTGAGAATGAGTTACAGAAATGGTGGCCTAGGATTATCAGAGTCAAGACAGTCTGTATTTCTGTAAGTCATGACAGTTGTAGTCTGTATTTTTTAAGTATTATTTCTTTTTTTAAATTATTTATGTTACTCTTGTGTTTCAAAGCAGTTCATATTTGTGTGTTTTTGTCTACATTTTCACATACTCAGGTAAAATGTGTTTTTTTTTTCTTCTTTTTTTTTTCAGTATGTGTTTTAATCTGCCTTTAAACTAATTATATTTTAAAGTTTTAATAGTTTATATTTTTTAAAATTGTTTGTGTTAACACATTTTACATTTGTATAAGTCTGAACCCAATTTTAGTTTGTTTATTTTAAGCACAATTTATTTTCAGAAATCTGCTTGTTACAACAAAACTTAAGTACAAGATAATATGTGTTAACACATTGACATCTATTCTGTCTATGTGTTGTAATAAATTATTAGTCTGTCTGTGTGATAACAGATGTAGTCTGTATGTTCACCTATAGCTTCATTAGAACATTCTTATTGTTTTGTTCGTTGCTCACAGTTTTAACTTCGCAGAAACCAGTCAGGCCATAATTGCCAGCAAAAACCATATAAAATCTTCATCATTGTCCCATGAAATAGTCACAGCAATACCAGCAACATGCACATGCATTGAATGCATAAGGCAGTCTCAAGAGTGTCATCGCCAAGTGTCTGACACTATAATTTGTTGTTGATTGCCATGTTGGATCTAATCATATCTAAGAAGCCCATCCTATGTTGATTTTTAATTTGTCAGGTTATAGATACATACTTTGTATGTATGCACCAGGCAGCCATTTTAATTAAATGCATGTATGAGTGCATGAAAATGTGTGTTTTGAATAGACTGTAACTTTCATCAGACAGTTTTACAGTTGATTCTATTGTGCCAAACTAAAATTGAACCTAATAATAGTCTAAAAAAAAAAAAAAACTAATTATAAAATACTAATAATAGTTTTCAGTTGTAGAAGCAGCCTCTGAGTTTTTATACTAACAATCAGTATATCTAAATTAAATTTTTTTTTTTTTTTGGCAATACAAATATTTTGCATTTGGTTCAATATTTTAAAATTTGTGTTTTCATTTTTACATGGAATATGTATTCTATAACTATTTATTATTAGTAACTTATGTTGTCTGAAAAAAAAAAAGTTTGCACAGGCCACAAGAAGTAATGGTACTAACTAGGACAACATGGGTGAATATGACAAACACAATGTGATGTTTTACTTTATAGAGGAGCCCTCATTGAATTTTTTTGGATAGATTTTTCTCTGACATTTTCATGGCTTTCTTGTCTTGAGTTTAAAAAAACTCATGTTGTGTTCTATTTTTTTTTTTTTTTAGGTCGGTATTACTGTGATTCTTTTGCCTCCCTGATTACGGGATAGTAACAAACAAAAATGTGATTTTTTTGCATGTGATTGTCTCTTTTATTGGAACCTGTGTGTATGTTACATTCTACTTGACTGCATAGTTCATCATTAGCATTAGTATCTATGGCATGACAGAGTTTTTTTTAAATCATGGGAAGTAAAATGCGTTAAAAATCTGGACACTGAAGTAT